AGCCGTTCCCCAGACACGCGTGTAAAGACGCTCCCGCGACGCAGCCGTGCCAGGAGGGGGGATGGGGATTCCAGTGTCTGTCTAACCGGGCGCTGGAAGCCAGTCTCCGAAGCAGGGACCCAGCTTAGAGTTACAGGAGTCAGTCTGTCTGTCCTGAAGCAGGGGCAGTGAGCGCGAGGCTGCGGCCCTTCCAGGGTGCTCTAACCGTGTTCGCTTTCAGACATCAGGGGCCTGGCCAACGCGTCCCAGCTGGAGCAGCTGAACAAGCGGTACTGGTATGTTTGCCAGGACTTCACGGAGTACAAATACCCGCACCAGCCAAACCGTTTCCCAGATCTAATGATGTGTTTGCCAGAGATACGATACATTGCAGGTAACTTTTTGAGCTCTTCTCCCACTGGGATCGTGTGCAAGTGATGAAATTTGCTTTTAAAAGAAAATTAACGTATAACAGCGAAATTCTTGTCGACTTTGGTGGAGGGTATCTGTGTGGGACCTTTTTCTATCGACACTTCTCCCTCGCCTGTAAGCCCACCTCCTGTCACCCCTGGCTCACCCAGGCAGTGGCACTTAGCGAGTTGTCCCCGTGACACTGGCAAACGCGGCGTTACGTCCCTCTCCCGAGTCCCCTGCTCCCAAGAAGCCGTGCCTGGCTCTGACCTGCCGCCCTGGAAGCGCTGCGGTCAGGTTCGCATTTTCTTTTCTCCCTTTCAGTCCCATCTTGGAGGCATTTTGTCTCAAAGGGGCGTAATCCTGGTTTGAGTAGTTATCTCAAGAAATAGAGATCCCTCTGCAACACCGCGTAACGAAGGAGCAGCTGACGGGCAGAGCAGCGGGCGGCTCTGCAGGGTCAGCCCCAGGTTTCAGCTCTCCTGCACCTCTGGAGTCCACAGGTGAACTTTCACCTGCAGTTGTGTCACTAACGTGATCTGCAAGGTCTGGTGTTACTGAAACAGTGTTTGTTCCTCAGTGTTATGGCAAGGGGAGATACTTGCCTCCCGGTGTCAAGGCTCCGTACGCTTCATCCTACTCCGCTGTAACGAACTAGATAATAATCACAGGGTAGTTCTCGTAATTTACTCATTGAGATCAGCAAGGGAGTTTGAGGAGAGACAGGATTTAGTCTTTCCCAGTTTCTATAAATACTGCTTCATTGTGGAGAAATCATTTTGATCTGACTTTGCCCATTTATGTAGCTTTCGATTCAGTAAATAATAAATCCTGTTGTGTCCAAATGAATATCAAATGTCTAATGTAGCAGTAGGATGATTAACTGTTTCTCTGAGAGGTTCAAGGTAAAACCATCTCCAGCGTTGCTGGCTTAGGTGTCTCTGAAATCTGATTCAAGAGTGGCTGCTAATTCTGTTTTTTTTTTTTTTTTTCTTACCA